TTTTTTTTTTTTTTTTTTTTTTTTTTTTTTTTGCTGTAAAAATGTCTCAGTATTTACAATGTTTTTTGTTATTTAAAATACTGTTGCTCTATTAATCAGTTTGATTTTTGATTTTTTTCTTTGTTACTGCAGTTAAGCTTGTCTGCTCTTCAGTCATGGTTTTTTCTTGCGCTTAACGGAACCTCATTTTTTGATACAGGGTTCTCGACTTCGCTTAAGCTTCGTACACTTCTTGCCATCTTTCTAATTGTTTGGCATTAAAGTTTCGTCTCAGTTATTATGAGGGTTTTGAACATCTGTTTTTTTTTTTGTGAAACCTAATTGAATGGACAGCGGCTGCATGATGTAAGCATAGACCTGAGAATTTGTGAGGTTGAAACGCACCAGCTCATGCAACTCTTTTATCTAGTACCTTAACAAATTTTGACCATTTTCTAGTCCAGCTTTATGTACCTGTTTGATCACAGCGTTTTAAGTGTATAGGTAGAACTTATCAATTCGCTGTATGAGGTGGATGGATTGTTGAAAAGAATTTTATAAAAAACATGTACGTGTGTACGAAAAAAGTTAAAAAAGTTCCATATTTCATTTGTGATTTGATAAAACAACGAGTACTTATGAAAACTATCCTGAACATTTTTTAAGATGGTTTTCAGGCGGAAGATTTCATCTCTTTTTTTTTTTTTTTTAGCTGAAAGGGATGCGTTATGAAAGCGGTTCGGCTATAAGCAGTGCCACAATAGCAGAAGTGCCTCCGAAAGAGCAGTGGGTAAGTTTTGGACCCAACGCCCTGGTGGGGTTGAGTATTGGTGAATGCCAGAAGAGTTAAAATGACGCTTTGGTGTTAAACCATTAGAAAGTTGCCAAGAAGTAGGTTGAGGAGTTAGAAGCTCTCGGAGATTGATGAGGAGGAGGTTGAGAACTCCTACGCAAAAAAGTGATGGTTATTTAACGGCAAAAAAAGCAAGCTTTGTGATGGGCAGGTTTAGTTGCATCAACGCTTTTTCTTTTGTTTTTCATTTCCACCGGGTTTTTCCGGTGTCCTTCTAAGAAGATATTGTTGAGTTTTCAATCGTACATGAATCATTTTAACTGGAGGAAATCTATGAGTGAAATTCTTGTAGGTTGCTTCTCAGGCACTTTATCTCTGAAATGAAAAGTGAATTTTCAGTTTTATTCTGTCGTCATTCATTTTTATTGAAACGCAGTTGTTTTTCTTCCTAACCTTTTGTTACACCTCCATTATTGTAACCGATTTCACTTCGCTGGGGGGTAAGTAAGGTGCTAATAACTGAGTTTTACTGGTATATTTACAGTTACATCGGAAGGAGCTGCTTTGCAGTGTTGGATTTTTAAATGTGAATCACAAAAGTTATTTAATAAGCTTTATTATTGTCACTAAATCTCAACTGCTCAGTTTCAACTTTCGTATTGTCAACATCGGTGGATTGTACTCAGTTTGTATAATCTTTCACTGAAGTTCAAGTAGACAAGTAGTGTCACAGTGCCAGAGTAGTTAACTTGCCTTTTTTTCGTTTGTAAGTTATTTTCAAATAACGAATTGGAAAGGACTAGCTTCTAGGGGTGAGTCCCTCTGAAATCAATGTTTTATCGGTTCCTTAAAGGGCGAGTAAGAGGTTCTGTTCCAAGCGTTATGTGGTAAGCTAAGCTTCTGTTACTGCCAGTGTTTCTCTTTATGTCATTCTTTTTTTGTTTTAAAACTCTACATGAAACTGATTTGTCTTAAATTTATTTTGAGCCTCTGTTTAATATAGCCTAATTCATTGTGTTTTAATTTTGAACTTAAAATTGTAGAGGCAACGAGCCTTTTATGGTTGTCAAGTTGTTTTAAGGCAGAGAAATTGGTGTAAGGAATAAGGGAGATGTGGCTTTGCAGGCTCATACTTTAAACAGAGATAGTAGTGAAACGGTTGGGTAACCGTTTAAATTAATGCAGTCGTTGAGTTTTGTAGAAATGTTTTTGATT